TGCATCAGTACTCCTGAGGTAATATTTTTTCGTTACTAGCTGTGAAATCTCCTCTTTTCAGATTTTAATAAATCATGGTATTATAATTAGGAGTTTGCATTAATTGGCTTAATTTAAAAAATCAAATTGGATAGAGCATATTTGATTGATTTGATTTGATTTATGAAACCGTGGCTTGATTTTATGTTATGGACTGAAGGTTATTATTTAAATTTCGGTTATTGATCCGATTTGAAAAAAAAAAAATCAGTTAATCAATTTATCAAACTAAAATGTTTAAATTGGAGGAATGTGTATATATTTATTAGAATTTTATAATTTGCTTAAATCAAAATTAAGTAAAATAAATAAAATTATATTTGGATATGTGGTTTTATCATATATGTTATTTAGGGGCGGTTTGGCAACAATTAGCCTACTAGTATTAATTTATTAAATTCAAATACTCTTAAATTCAAAATAATATTTGATATAATTAAGATTAAATTCAGTTAAATGTATTTGATGTGTTTGCCATAAATTTTCTTAAAATATTTGTTTCCTAAACTTAAACCGTTAAATCAAACGAATAATTGGATTTAATAAATCCAAGTTTACATCATATAATTAACAGAATAAAAAAAAATAGAGTTAATAAGATGTCGGATTTAGCTAAGCAAAAGATGATATTTGGCTGGATTTACGTTAAATCATTACCTAATTCCTATTAAAAGTAGCCTACCAAACGTTCCTTTAGTTTGTTCGATTTTATCAATTATTTAATTTAATTAATTTTATTGGTTCAAAAAATTTGTTAATCAATTGGGCTGGAATGATGGATCACACATAAAAATTTTAACTATAAATTTTTTTATGATTATTTAATTCTAAACATTGTACTAATTACTTTTACATGTCATTGAAGTGAAACTTCGTGTATATGTTAATCTGAGTAATTGTTGTTGTTTTCTGGTTATCTGGAATTTTTTCTTGAGGATGTTATTTAGATTTCGCTCTTTGATGGATATTTGGCTACTGATTCGTAAAAGTATTTCAATTTATTGTGGATTCTTCTTGAGGTTGCTATTTGGTGCATTATATTGTTGGCCAAGCGGTTGTTCTCCTTCTTCCTAGTGTTGAAGTTGTTTTACATATGCTTGAGTTGCATCTCCTTTTCTTCTTTCTAATAAAGTTGAGTGTAATCAATATTCATTGTGTTTAATGTAGGATTCTGTTTGAATTAAATGTTCACTAATTATTTATTTGGAATTGTATGTGTGATTGTTTTGTAATTTTGTTCTTTTATATATTTTTTTTATTAATAAATAGTGAAGTGTTGGATTCTAAATTGTATTTTGTGAAAACATGCATCGAGAGTTAGAGCAGAGAGAAGGAGGATGAGAAAGAACAATCGAGATAAGTCCCTGTCGAGAATTAGTGAGTGGCCCTTTTATTTGCCTCTTTGCCCTCTAGTTATATGGACGTATTTGTACAACTATAGGAAGGAGGTAACAGTTAGGAAAATCGTCTTTTATATAATTTAATCATGATGATTTACGATGAATTATGCATTACAATTTGAATTCAAATATGACAATAACCGATTAATCGATTCTCTTGAGTTCGATCTAAAGGCTGAGGCAACCGGCTCATAGGCGATCAGACATGCCGAAGTAGAAAGTCGGTCGGTCAGCGGGTTGCAGTCGGACTCCCCTTATGAGAGGTGTAAGAAGGCCCAAGATTATAACCATACAAAAAGAAAAACTCAAAATCTCAAAAAAATACGAACTACAGTTGTTGACGTAGTGATGAAATCACAAGTTTATAGGGCAAATTGATAAAAGTATATTTGCTTTTACAATTAGCCTCATCTGAAAGATTTTCTGAATCAAATCATACGAACTCATGAAAGAATGATCCAAATCTATTATTATTTTTCTGTTTGATGAGATTAGCTAGACTTAATCAAATACCTTCAACAAGTGGGATATGTCAAATTGCCTTGACAAATTGATTAAGCTCTACTGTCGACTTATGCTTCTTATGAATACACTCCGAAAATTCTTGTTTAGTCACGTGCCTAGAATACCCTCATCATTGTTAAAGATGGTCCTTTATTAATAAAAACATATATAATATCTAAATTTTACTATTTACTTCTATACTACTACAATATCATAGTCAGATCAAAATAAATAATGAAAATACAGCGGAAGAATGATCATTTGTCCAGAAACAGTTGCAGTACGGTTGTTTTCAAACTGCAAAAGACAAACAGACAACTAGCTTATATCCACAACAGCTTCTGCACAACAGCTTCCTGTGACAGCAGTTGTGCAACAACTTATTATTACGATGTAGTTGCCCCATATAGACCCTTAATTGCTTACATAGAGTAGTTGAGAAATTGGATGGTTTACATCAAATCACAAACAAGTTGGCTAATTTTAATAATTGCATCTTTTCTTTTAATATTATTGAGCTTTAGAATATTGTTCATGCTTTTTGATGGTATAGTAATCAATCAGATAATCCTATTAGATGTATTGTAGATAAAGTTCTTTGCAATTCTCATTGAGTGAACTCTTTTCCTCAATCTTGTTTTCAAAGTCGTGAATTGATCATCTTTTGATCACTCTCCTATTTATACGAATTATAGGAGAATTTGTCGTTATTATTATTTCATTATTAATTTCTCTTAGAATATTAACGTTAAATATGATCCTTTGTTTGTCATTTATAATAACTTAAAGTGTCAAAGCTGCCATTAAAGGTTGGAATTGGTATAAATATAGTTTTCTCACAAATCATATTTTTTAGTAAAGAAGATATTTTTTTTTGGATGATCTATGCATTGATCTTTTGAGTAAGAAGTTATTGACTCATGTTACTTATAAACAAAAAAAAAAAGACCAATTGATTTGTTTGAGATCCTGATAATATAGCATGTGAAATTTGCACATTTCCACAAATAATAGTTAAAAGCCAAGAAGAATAGAAATTAACCTGTTATTGGATAGTGAGGGATGAAGATAACAAAAGATTTGTGTGAGAGAGAGCACACACTGAAAAAAAATTTGATGACGGAGAGGAAACTCATAATAGAAGTCATCAAAGGTCCAGAGGTTATCAGCCATAAAGGTCTTAATTTAGGTGAGAGTGCGTACAAGAGACAAAGAGGGAGCCCAATTTGGGGATGTGGGCTCCAAAAATTCACAACACTACCTAACTCAAATGAAAGTTTTTTATTAGTCCCAATTCAAATTTTTAGCAGACATGTTAGATTGCATAGATTTTGCCCCAATATTGTGAGGAATTTAAGATACTGAATTCAAGGTTTCACATGGGCACATATACATATGATTAATTAGATTAATTATCCCTTTTAATAATGATACCAACTTTGGATTATGGTTAGCCTAGTCACTGAAAATTCAATGTTAAGTTCTAAATAATAGAAAATTTCACTATTTAGCACTGAAATGGGTGTGATGACTATAGAGATGGCGATTGATTAATTATCCCTTTTAGTAATGATACCAACTTTTTATTATGGTTAGCCTAGGCACTGAAACTTTAATGTCCGGTTAAGTTCTAAATAATAGAAAATTTAACTATTTAACACTGAAATGGGTGTGATGACTATAGAGATGGCGATGTAAAAGGCAATATGATTAACGACAATGACTTTGACGGTTGCAAGATTGGACACAATGAGATTGTTACTTGCAAAATTAGAGGCGACAACTTTGAAAAGACAACAAGATCAAAGGAGTGAGATATAGGGTAATGTGATCGAGACACAACATGATAGATGTTTATGGTAGGTATTATTTTTCAATATATATATATATA